ATGCTGAAAGGTATGCAAAGGTTTTAGAGCAACATATGCTCCCCTCTAGACGACATCTATTCTAGGGAAGGCCTTGTGTATTTCAGCAGGACAATGCAAAACCACATACTGCAGCTATTACCAGGGCTGGACTGGGACAAAAAAAAGGCCCTGGCATTTTTTGCCATGGCGGCCCGACCTGATTGTGACGTGACGGCCCGCCATATGCGCGCACTTTGCTGTTATCAAAAGTTAAAATTAAGCTCAGTCGTAGCCTACGTGCCCTGGAACTCCACACAGAAAGGCCCCAGGCCGGAATCGAACCCACAACCTTCTTGCTGTGTGGTGGCAGTGCTAATCACTGCACCACCATGACAAAAAAGTTATTATTATTATTATTATTATTGATAATAATAATATTAATATATTTACATGATTTAATGTGAAAAAGGAACGTGACTTTGGGCCATTTATAATTTTTCAATAAGACCATTGCACTATTTGGATTGATTCATGCATAACCTTTTTAAATAACGTTACATATCTTACAGACTCAACAGGGCATAGAATAGCTCACTAGCTTCAGAACCGCAGTACTCGCTGGTTGCAAGTTTACTGGCAGGAGATTCTGAACGTCAAGACAGGGTTTTAAATAGAAAAATTTGAAAGTCTTGCTTGCTGTATTCCAGGAAAAATTTTATTTGCCACTGTAAAACAACGAATCATAGTAAGTTATCAGCAGCTGGTCCATCAGTGGGGATCTTTTGTAAGCTCAAGCAAATTTTAACCGAATACATACTTGCGATAGCCTATTAATTTAACGTCAGTCCTACCGCTTTCCGTGTCCACCTCCAAATGAAAACTGCTTGCTACATGAGGATCATCGTGGCCAAACAGCTGCTCAATTTTCTTAGCGATTGAAAGCCTGAGGCTCCAATGTCTGTTTACTTTATTCTTGAAGCTTTTCTGCCTCTCCACTGCTTTCTGACATTTTTGTCTGAGCTCGTAGTCGAAACGCGTTTTTAGACTGTTAACACAACTGGGGACAAGCAAAGCCATTGGTCAAACTAATTTCCCAGCAAGCCTACCTTCTTAAACTTTTAGGACGAATGGCTTAAGCCTATGCATCGTTTTTTTTTTAATCTGCAAGAATACAGTTTTTCAGTAATTCCTATATCATAAAACAAATATATAAATAGATACTGAAAAATGGCCAAGATGCAAGATAACCGGAATAGCGAAGTAGAAAAATAAAAAGTGGTATATAAAGCATGTATCACCTGAAAACTGAAATGTGGATAATCTACAGAGGGAAAGCCTTCTGAATCACACACCGTAAGGGGCGATATACAGCAATCACATATTGAAATGCTCTGTACGACATTCTACTGAGAGCTAATTTAAATAAGTCTGCCATTTGCTCGCCTCAATGTGGGCAACTGGCTGTCTACTAGTTGTACCCAAATGCGTTTTTTTTTTTTTTTTTTTCCCTCAGGAGGGAGGGCTTAGAGATTACACTGGCCCAGCCCTGTGTCAGTGTAGAAAATGAACTAATGGGTCGCTTTCCGTGTTTTAAAGGCCGGCGCGGTCATTCAAAATTATCGATGTTATTACAATTTTCATTTACTATGATATCAATGGCCCAAAATGTGCGCCAGCCCACCGGGCATTGCCCGGTACGCCAGATGGCCAGTCTAGGCCTGGCTATTACAACAGCATGGCTTCGTAGTAGAAGAGTCCGTGTGCTGAACTGGCCTGCCTGCAGTCCTGATCTTTCACCGATTGAGAACATTTGGCACATAATTAAACGAAAAGTCCGTCAAAGGAGACCCAAAACTCTCCAGCAGCTGGAAGCCTGTATTAAACAAGAGTGGGATCAAATTCCAATGGCTAAACTCAAGAAACTTTTCTCCTCAATGCCCAGACGCCTCCACTCTGTGTTAAAAAGAAGAGGGAATGCTACACCATGGTAAACAGGCCCCTGTCCCAAGTTTTTTGAGACCTGTAGCAGCCAGCAAATTTGAAATGAGCTCATTTTGTGGATAAAATCGTAAAATTTCTCAGTTTCATCATTTGCTATGTTATCTCTGTTCTATTGTGAATAAAATACTGGCTGGTGTGATTTGAAAGTCATTGCGTTTTGATTTTATTCACAATTTACACTTTGTCCCAACTATTTTGGAATTGGGGTTGTATATGTAAATGCAATGGACTGGGAGAGCTGGGGCCTATTGCACAAAGGCAGGATAAGGGATTAGCCCAGGATCGGCACGGGATTAGCCTGATCTCAAGCCCCATTTCGGTCGCACAGAGCGTGTGAGCTAAGCCATGGCACTAGTTACTATGGAAACAAAGTCGGTGGAGCTAGCCAGCACCGGAGCAAGCTTACGAACTAGCTAAGCTCTTGTCTGCAGCCAATTTCACCTCACCTCATTCAGCAGTCGCCCAAATTGAAAATGAACGTCCTTAACAGTCATTCTGAATTGTCCACTACACGTTGCTATCTCAATTATAATAGGCCCAGAGTAATTGTTTTAGAAACTTGTGACCATTGATGTCAGTAAAATAGCCAATATTCGATCATTATATTCAAGTAGGCCTATCCATGTGACAGTGACCATCACAGTTCAATCAGTCCCCCTTCCATGTCACATTTTAACCATATTTAGAATCCGTCATTGTCAGATTTGTACTTATTCCCCAAGTTGAGACTTCCATCAAAGTAGAAAATGAGCAGTGCTGAATGAAGTAGGTTACCGTGTTTCAGCGCGGTCTTAAATCGCTGCGGTAACCCCCTACCTACAGCACTGCTCCTACTTTTCTCCGTCTTTATTCAGACTGCGACGGGCAAGGTAGAGTCGTTGCCTTAATGCTGGACACGAATGCAATGTCGCTCGCTTCGCGATACTGGAATCAAACATTTTCAGGGGGGTCCTTGACGTAATTTTCTGACGCTAACATTCTACTTTTAAATTTGAGTATGTCTTCATCAGAGGTGTTTAATAGCAGCAAGTAAACTCAATTAATCTGACAACGTCTTCTAGATCGGAGTTTTGTTCAGTTTGTATAGGACTGTGTACAAATATTTAGCGTACTTGCGATGCTCAATTGATTTATTGAGCTGATTCTGTTTTACCCTTTAGCATACTTTTGACATTAGTGACAGCATCAGTTTATCACACACATACCCACATGACACGTTTTTGGCATGAGTTTAAGTATGTCTGACAGCGACGGCTTATCTCGTTCACGGTAACGCTGAAATGCGTCAGCAACTCCTTTTTGACAGTGCTGAATCACCTCCCGAGTTTACTATCACTTGAGTTTAACTAACTTTAATACTCCTCTCAAACGTCTTGCACCATTCAGACAGAAACTAAAGGAATAGCAGGCAGAAGCATTTCAGCGATCCCATCGTCCCTCTGTTTGAACGTGGTCTTTGAGTGTTTCTGGCGCATGCGTTTGCTGCAGCTACTTAGTGTCCGTGGTGATGATCAGCGACTCTGTGATCGTTCTCGGGGTCTATTTGAGGTAGCCGAGTGCGCGCACTCAGCAAAATCAGCGGCAACGGGCTTCACTTAGCCAATCCTCCTCCACCCGCTGTTGGCTTTGTGCAATCAATTAAGCCAGCGACACGCTGTTAGGGATATGGCAATCCTCGCTTTTGCGTTGATCCAGGATCTCAGGATCCGACTTTTGTGCAATAGGCCCCTGTTTATCTTATTGCATTTGGATATTGTCCTCAGTAGAGCAAGTTAAGTCTTTGCAAATTAAATGTTGAATGCTGTTTTCAATATCATTTTCAAATAGTCAGAAAATAGCATTTACATTTTCATGTTGACCCTAAAAGAGCATGTTGACATGTAAATGTAAATGCAATAGGCTGGGGGTGCTGTTTTGCTCATTGCATTTGAATATTTCCACTGTATTGCAGAGCATATGAAAATTAAATGTCAAACAGCTTTTCATTATCATTTGAATATAGTCATAGATTTCCCATATGTGTTTGTGAAAATGAAAGTGATAATTGGATTAATGCATTTTCAATTCAATATTGTCTCAAATAACTCATTCATAAGTGGAAAATTATAATGCAATAGATGGATTACATTTTCCTTTGAATATTGTCCACTATGGGCTTCCATAGAAATTGAAGTTGACCCTTAAAATGAAAGTAATAAGCTACATTAACAAATTCCCCTTACTTAGTGTTTAACAGTCTAATCAGCTCAGACCATCTCACAGCAGTATTTCAGATTTGTTCATCTTGAATTGATCAGCTGCGGAACATGTGTGCGACATTTTTGAATCATGCTTTGCTTTGTCTGATTTTTCTCATTCAAAAAACAAAGTGCCTGCAATAAGGATTCGTTAAGTCGGCTAAATCAGGAGGCAGTATTCACAAATTTTTATTCACAAGTAGACCTTAAGGTCTACTGCAAGGTGAATGGTGCATGCAAGCTATGGACTAAGATGAATCCACGTCGCTTTCAGTTTTCTGCCTTTAATGTTACATCATTTATTTAGATAATGTTAGATGACATTCATAATCAGTTCTGTTATTTCAGTGGCCTTCATAAGCCCTTTCAAAGTTAAAGTCAATTCAAATCCAGCTTTATTGTCAATTCTGCCATTATGTACCAGACATATAGGGAACTGAAAAATCGTTTCCCTCTGAACTATGGTGCAGAGAGTAAAAAAAAGAAGTAAAACATGGACATCGAATAAAATGCACATGGAATAAAAACATAAAATAAAACAACATAGAATAAAATACATTTTCAAAAGCGCATACAAAAAAGTGCATAGAGTAGAACAAATATCGAGCCACTTAAGAAATAGCTGAAAAGTACTAAATATGGTTGACTGGTGACCGCCTGGCTGGCCAACAGGAGGCGCTTGAGCAACGAACAATGCTGTAATTCAATCATCCCAAACTGGCAGTTCTTCCCAGTTTCATTTCATGCAGCGCAAAGCCAATTGTGCGCTGCTCTGAAAAGGCTACCGACCACTGCCGGCCCTAGCACAACTGGGGATCGAACCCAGGTTGTGATGGTCACTACTGCTCCACAATGCAGTGCCTTAACCAAGTGAGCTAATCTGGTAGCCCACATTATTACGTTTTTCAAGTAATTTTCATTACTGGATTATTCAATTTGTGGTCAGAAATATTATTGGTCAATGCATCCCAATTAAGGCTATAAAACTCTGGAGGATCAGATGTACTTAGTTCAAGCTGATTTAACATTAACAATACTTAAATTTTGCTGCTGCTTAAGTTGTTCTTCCTGCAACCTTTTTTTTGGTGGCATCTCTCCACTTGTTGTGCCAAAGTTGGCCATTTGCTCACGGCACAACAACTGCCCCTATATGGTTTTAAGTAGGCATTACCTACATACTCTAATTACAATCGGCCACACGCCTCCAGTTTACTATCAAATGGGATTCATCATTCTCTACACATGCGTAAGAGCATATTTTGATGGTAAGAACGTTTGGTGCATCTGGAGTTGACTTCTTTTATTTTTTTCTCTTTAAAAAAATGTAAGAGAATTTTAAGAGAATGTTGCTGCATGCGCCTCACTGAGTGATATTTCGGTGTATGACACGTTCATATCTCGGCAAATTCACAACTACAGTTCTGTTTCACATGCTGGTATATCAGTTTGCCAAACATTGATGTGTTGTTGTGGTGCCTTCAAACCCTTATCAATGGTGAATCTTGTTTTCAGGCTGTGGTCATTCATCAGTATTTCAACCATACTCATTTTCAAAAATACTATTGTGTACTATATGCATTTCAGGGAGAGAGGTGTGAAATGAGCTCAATGAATGTATGACAACAGTAGTCCTTCTCTTAATGAAATTTCACGACAGCTGCAAATATCATCTTTAACCTTGACGTTTGATACAGCATATGAAATGTCATTCATATATTAAAAAAATAAGAATAATTAAGGCGTGAGTTTCAGTTTTCCCATTAAAAATTGCTGTCGGCAGAGACATTGCACATTGCTTATTTTAACTGACCTACTTCGTGCACACCGCTGCATTTCAACAAACAAGTTGTATGAGCTGAGCCCTGCGCCACGCATTACTAAGTGTTCAGTGCAGTTCTTTTACATTCTCAAAGTGGCCATATCCACATTTAAATTAGTTCGTCACTTTATTTATTTTTTATTACCCAATTGCATTAACGTGTCCACAGCACAGCAGTGTGAAAATTGTTTTCTTGTCAATTGTCTTTTTTTCATCAGCATGTGGTGTTTGGGGTGAAGGTGTTTGTCGCATGGATGATCCCAGATGTTCCCTCGGAGGTGAAGGCCCGAATCAAGAGGGAACGCTATCTGGTGCAGGAGTACCTGCACAACTATGAAGTGGAAAAGCTAAAGGTGCAGCTCAGCCAGCTCAATGGCTATCACCAATCAGAACAGACCACCGGTGTCTGTGCCCTCCCTGAGACTACGGAGGTTTTACCCGAATGCCTGTAGCCTTATCCCCAACCCCTGCCCCTGCCCTCCCCACAGATGATCACAGGCTCCTGCTCACCTCACGGCTCAGTTTCCTAAATGTGGCAAAGGTAGCATTTTGTGGCACTAATGGCTGGAGACTGCTGTTAAAGTGATGTGTCCTGGCTTTTGGTTTCCAGTGTTTTGTGTCCAGCTTGGGCCTGGGGCCCATTGCATCTCAGTGACTTACCATCAGCATAGCTGCTGTCCTGGTGAAATTCACCCAAATCGTACATTTTGTCCCACATATCTGATTTGTGGCCACGCATTCTCAGTGAAAATGGTAAGATTGGATTTTTTGTCCTTTTTTTTTGGTACTTTTTTTTTTTTTTTTTTTTTTTACATCTTGCACTTCAGTGCACAGGGGTTAGTCTCAATGGATTGAACATCTTTCTTTTGGTGGTTTAACATGCATGTGCATTTCAGTCTGTTCATTATGTAAAGATGAATATGAATACGCATGAAAAAGATTGGATCTGCGCAGAACACTTGAATTGATTTTTTTTTCATTCTAATATGAACATAGTGTCATGATGGGCTACGGTTATTATTTGTCATTATTTATCATATGCAGTCATGTATTACTGATCTACTGTTTTCCTGGGGCTGCTGGTGGAAGGACTGGGCATTCCAAATTACAGAGGAAGGGAAATGATGTAATGTGTGGGAGCAGCCAAACAGCCTCCATGCCCTTCAAATTACCAAACACTCTCATGCATGCCCTTCCCATGCTGACCTCACATGCTGTTGGAAACCAAGGGCAGGCAACTTCAAGTGAATGTTCAGCACTATCTTATGGCCTCAACCTTATGGCTGTCTTTCTGTCCAGCCTCTCTCTATGCAGCATCAAAAATGAATGAGTCTCAGTGCCAGCCACAGTTATAAATATTTATATGTTTGAAAATTGCATGCGTGCATCTGTTTAAATGTTTGTTTCATGTACTGTCGGTAAAATTGTCAATATCGAACTATGGTGATGTTAGTGGTCATATCAGATATTAATATCAGAGTATGCTTCTTTATTTATATTGGGTTTATGAAAACATATTAATTGTTGAAGGAATTTAATTTTTTCATTTATTATATATTACTCTTATCGGTGAAAACAGAAGTTCAGATTATTGGATGTTGTCTGTTGATGGAAACAATATTTGACTACCAATGCAAGAATTGGAGCCAAGGAACTCGGCAGGGAAATGATTATGACTAGTCGGAGGCCATTGTGGGCGGGAAGGGGTAGGTCCGCAGACATAGCTGATGTTTCTCTTTACATGTATTTCATGTTCTCAGCCTTCAGGCCAGTGGTATAGGGCTCATTTGTGATTAGAAAAGGACATACTATTCAGCTAAACCAAATGCAGTTGCTTTGACTAAAATGTCATGTGTTAGCTCTGGTTTATATACCAGGTGACCGAAGTATGATTTACTGTGAAATGGTATCCAGACCTCCTCTTTTTTCTGAAGCGAAAGAAATTTGACTTCTGTTTTTGCATAGATGAAGTTTTTTCACCCTGCAACAGTGTTGAATTCTTGTCATACCCTTCCAATTTAAAATTGACTGTCAGTGCCATTCAGTTATTTGTTTTGTAATATTAATGTATTGTTATTTTCTGTGTGTTTTGATTTGCAGACATTTAATCTAGCTTTGTTCAGAAGACGCATTGATGTCTTGTACTCCCGCGTCTCAGGTGTCATATAAAGTAATTACAATGCAAGCATCCACTGTGCCTTGAAAGCAGTGCATTACAGCCATAACTAGCACTGGCTTCAGCAGCAACATAAGGAATTAATTTTGGGTGTCCCCCCCCATTAGTGGTATGCTGGTGTGCCACCGTTCAATTTCCTCTCTTTGTTTTGTATACTCAGTCATTAGGATTTGGAACCGCCTTCTGAAATACGTCTTAATGTGCCTATCTTTACTTAAAGTTATACTGAATAGGATTTTCATAAAAAAATGTGTAAACTCATACAAAAAATTATCACTCACAATCATCGCTTATGACCCGCTAGAAGTGTGTGACAGTGTCTGTATCTCCAGAGACCCTGCCATCAGCCTGTATTTTGTTATGTTACTTTGTACGGGACATTTCTGGGCCTCAACATTTGGGCAGTGGGTGTGTAGCTCCCTGCAAATAACAGCACGCAGGGTGTGAGAACCTGACTCTGTCAGGCCTACTTCTCAAAGCATATCTATCCCACAATCCTGTGGGAACACAGGGACCAAGAGTCTATTTCTTTTTTAAAAAGCAGCAGAGGGTAGTGCCAGTAGTTAGCTTATTTTTCTTGCTTTTCAGCTTTTCCTTTACAATAGATCTTACGGTCAAAAATTTTAATTTTACTAAATTTTACACATTCAAGCAATGTATGTGCACTCCAAGTCCTACTGTCAATCAATGCCATAACTTTACGTGTACAGAACATAACCCTTGAGGGATGTAATGCTGAGTTTGATTTTAGAATCATTTTCTGTCTAGCACACTACATTGTGAGAGGCTCAGGGCTAAGTGTTTGTAATGAGCAGGTAACTTATATAGGCTGGCTGATGGTAGCCAACATTACTGTTGGCAGCGTATTTTTTTATGTTGCGGAACTGGTATTGCATCGTCGTTATATACAGCATTGGTCTCAAAACACAATACAGAGTAAATTTGAGCTAGCTAAAATGATGTAGCACTAGCTACGTAAGGTTTGTACTGGTTGATAGTGTGTTACTATCTAGCTTGGTGCATTGTTGAATTACGGTCAGGGGGCATGGGCTTCTGGTCTGGTTTAGCTGCAAAGGACGGGCCAACGATGACTGTTGTGTTTACAAACTACAACATACAAATCCTACTCAGAATACCTTTAAGTGTGAACAAAGGCATTTTTTGACTTTTGGGCCAGTTATGTCATACAGTAAGCAGTATTTATTTTTTTATTGTTATTTTGTTGGCTATTCTAAGGAATAAAGAAAACATGCTTTTTTTTTGTATTTGCACATTATTATTAGAAATTGGATTTGCTTCTTCAAATGAAGTCTTCAAATTAAGTCAAGTACTTTTGTGACATTATCAGTGTTTTGAAGAAAGCAATTATTTGAAAATGCATTTTAAAAATATTTATCTGTATATTCTATATTAGGCATAACACTGTTGCCTTATAGCCAGAAGGCTGTGGGTTTGAATTTGGCCATGAGCCTTTCTTTTCATAGTTTGTATGTTCACTACGTGTTTGCGTGGGTTTCTTCCAGGTACTCCAGTTTCCTCCCACAATCCAAATCACGCATGCTTCGTTAATTATTGGACAATCTGAATTACCAAGGGGTGTGAGTGTGCAAGTGAATGGTGTGTGGGCCCTGGAATGCATTGGTGAGCTTTCCAGGGTTTGCTCCCGCCATTCACATATTTGGCAGGGATAGGCTCCAGCTCCTTTGTGAACCTGATGAGGAAGAAGCGGTTTAGATCATGAATGGAGTTTCCATGTCAGATTTCGGAGTAGATATGTTAATTTGGTCACGCACATTGTAATACTTTGGTTGAAGATTTTGAATCATTCATTAAAGTATGCTGGATTTATAGTGTTCTTGCTTTAAAATATGCCTTTTGTTTTGGTGATTT